GTTGTCACCTGGCCGTTCTGGTTACTTGCCCGAGTTTGGTATCCCAGTCAGCAGTTTGGTCTGCGTGCTGCTCAGAACCCTTTCTGAGAGCTGGTTTCCCCGAACCCCCCGAAGCAATCCGCTGAACTGGAATCGCCTGATTCCTTGTGTCTTGTGCCTTTCAAGATTTAGCCACTTGATCGCCCACATGGCTGTGGTGGTCAAAACCAATCAGATCCCTATTTTGGTTGGGATTGGGGAATCCACCCCTTTGAGGACCTATTTTAGTGGTTGCATTGGGATGTTCACTGGGGGTACGATTTGGCTTTTGACCCATGGCCAAAGGTCAGGACCAGGGCGCCACTCCAAAAGTTTGTCCAACTGAGGAATCGCAGAGCTGCTCAAGAAGCATCGGAAGCTAAGGGAAGCGCATCCCGACAGCTGAGTGGCAACCAAAAAGCGGTCCGTCCGATGTGCTAGGGTTTGTGGCCTTCGAACTTTGTCACGTGGGTATGAGCCAAAGTTAAACCACCAGGGAACGCAGGTTTTAGTCCATGGTTCCATTTACCAGGGTTCCATTAGGGGTACCCATTTTTGACCCACAGCCACGTGGTAGCTTGTGAACGGTTTGTGTTTCTGTGGTGGATTGTTTGCGTGTGTTATAGCTGGTTGCTGTTCAGTTGTGTTTTTGTTTGCCAGCAAATACTGACGAGATAACCTCGCCTCGCAGGTGGTCAACAGTTAGGGACCCTTTCAGGACCCTCAACAAGGGTTGGTAGACAAAACCTCCGCATCTAAATCATGTCCAACAAAGGGTCCCGAATTCAAAATCATACGGCTTTGTCTCAAGAGAGTGCACTCACCAAGCACTCTAGGTGCCCCAGTAATGCCCTTTGACCCTTGCTCCCCTAAAAAACAGCAGACTACAGAAAAAAATCGGGTACCCTTATTCTAACCTCTCTACTGGAGGACCTAGTACTTGTAGCTGGCTCTTCCTCTTGGTTTCCCTTCAAGACCATGCAACCACAGTCCCTCGAAGGTTTTTTCACGGCGCCCGAGTCGAGTCCTTAGTTACTGGCCATTCGGCAAGGAGCCTGGCCACGAGCTGGACCAGGACCCGATGTGCCAGCCGCATGGCTCAGGTGGTGGAAACCCAGCGATCACTTGAGCCACTTGCTCAAAACCGATTCGGGCAGATGAAGGTTAGTAAGGAAAAGTCCCAGCCAGAATTCGTTGCCGATATCCGCCTTCTTGATTCCTATATGGGTGTGGCTAAAAATTAAACGATCGGAGGGGCAAACGGCAGGTTTTTTTTTCGTCCATGTTTCCACTTACCTGGGCAACCCATTTTCCGGGTCTTTGAGCCACAGCCATATGGTTCTGAGTAGACCATGTTAGCACCGGGTTTTGACTATGACTCACTTGAGCTTTGGCGGCGTCCAGGTCCTTAGCTTCTTAGGTCTTTGGTTGGTTTACTTTCCATTTTGCCTAGGGATGTTAGGACATAACTTTTTGGCAAATGGGTTTTCCGTATAGCACTAAAAGCAAGTCACGTTTAGCAGGGGAGCAGATTTCGCAACCGAGTTTAGTGGGGGTGTCCATGTGACCCACGAGAAGTGAAACTTTTAGCCGGGGATCTGAGCACAGCCCAGTTGCTGGTTTGCCCTGATTGACCGGTCCATAGTCTGAAGATTCCTAGGGCGATCACCCTTTTTGTGCATTTGGGCAAGTGAGGCAAGTTTGTCAAGCTTGGGAGGGAGACAAATATTCGTGACCCTTGTTCTTGGGTGGCTCGTGGTTTTGCCCATGTTGGGTGAATATGATAGACCTATAGGCACATAGAGGTCGGAAAGCAGAGTGAGATGTTGCGCTGCCAGGACGATCACTAGGCGGCAGTTGCCACGTGTCTCACCATCAACCCGATCAATACGGCGCGTGTTGTGTCGAGCTGACACCAGTAGCAATTGACCAGAGGCAACACACAACATACGGCTCGCATGCGCTCGCACCAACTGCATGCCGCTGGCATGTCTAGTGCTCCTGTGGTGTTGTCGAGGATAACAACTTGGTTCCACCTGTTCGACAACACACCGGTGTCTTGCTCAAGCAAGCTTAATGGTGCAACCAGCCGAACCTTGCTCATCTCTTAGCAAATCGCCCGGTTGAAACATGTGTGGCCTTTTTTAGGTACCAGTTTTGCACCTTGACCAAATCTAATGACCATCTTTGTCACGGAGCCTATGTTGATCCTTGGGAGACCCCAAAACAAAGCGGAGAGCGGCACCCAAACCGAAGATCGGGACATGTCAAAACCCCCCTTTTGAAGGCACCCATGGCACCGGAGCGCAATCAATTGCCCGGACCGGAGTGCAGAGTTTTAAAAAAGGCAGCGCACAGGTGGCATGCAAGTTAGACATGGTTGTTGGTGGGAAACATTTTACAGTTTTGCTTATTGTGGTTTAGTGGTAAATCCAAACGAGCGGCGGTTTTTTTAGCTCAAGCTAATTTAGTGGGGAGAGGGACATTATTATATTGAAAATGTGCGCCGAGCCACACGCGCGGAAGCATGTGGAAGGCTCGCGTAAGGGATTTGTTCGCGGAACGTTTGCGGAAGCTTTGTTGGTGATTACAACTAAATGTTTCAGTGCGTGCATGGCAAAGCTCGGAGAAACGATTCCAGTAGAAGAAAAGGTGGGTGTTGCTGCGTACAAGAAGCGCAACGCTTACTCGAAGAGCAGATACCAACAGCAAGCCAAGAAGGCCCGCGGAAGCACATCTTGTAAACCATGCCCCGCGGAAGGTATGCGGAAGCAAATGAAACACATGTGCCGCGGAAGTTCGCGGAAGGGACCTCTTGGCCCGCGGCAAGGATGCGGAAGGGCCCGTGTTGCTCCCCTTCCAACGTCAACCAAGTAGGAGTGGAAGGTCCAAAACGGTGTATATATATATAGTTTTCTCATGACCTCCATGATTTCACGCAAGAATTATGAGGCCAGATTGGTGTTATTTCGCATGAGGACGGGCTGTCTCGAGAACTTCCATTTGCTTGAGATGAGCTGTCATTGTGCCCCATCATGGCTGTATGGTCAAACATGGGAAGGGGAAGAAAAATGTTAGTTGTCAAGGCAAGCCGCTTGGCTAAATCCCCAAACCATGCTTTCACCCGTGACACAAGGTGGGCGTTTCTCAAAATTGGGGACACCTCCAGGTACCAAATGACTGGCCTCACTGAACTTGTAACAAGGCCTTGACTCCAGACATCATGCCTTCCTCAAATGCTCGATGTATGGGTGCTAGCAATAGCCCATAAGTTCAGGCTTACCCAATGGGCAACCACAAGGGGATGAATACTCGCTTAATTTTCCAGACCCCTATTTAGCATCCAGATGTTTACTGCTGTTTCCTTTGTCATCTCAGACACGAGTCGCCTCCCTATTTTTAAGAAGCACATGGATCATTGGGCCCCACGCAGGGTCCTGACGACGTGGACGAGGAGCTGCCATTCTATCGGGGGGTGCCGCCAGCGAATGGATGGACAAAATCCAATGTTGAGAAGCCAGCCCCACCTTTTTGTCCATCCCCAGTGATGATTTGATTTTGCAATGCTATCCCAGGAAAGGATCTTGAAGTGTTGGTTGTCTTCCATTTGCTTCTGTTTTCCTTTCCCTCGTTGCTTTTCAAGGGAATCTATCACTGGACATATGTTATGTCTTTTTGTTTTCCAGGGGGCTTGAGCAAATGGATTTGTTCTTTGCTCTGGTGACTAGGACCCGGCCGCAAAGGAAGAGGTACGCCAGGCATTCTGCCAAGTGATCCAGGCCGGGAGGGGGTCGCGACATTCAAAACGAAAGGTCCGGGTCCGTGAACGTGGTCCCTCGGGTTCCCAAAGCCCCCATGAACAAAATGGCCTGAGACCCAATTTGGATGACCGTGCTTTGGTCCATCATAGGTGAGATGAACCCAACCATTGGTTGTATGGTGGTTTGAAAACTCCAGGGTGGTTGCATTCTAAAATGACCCTTGGCGGTGCTTCCACGTTCAGAGGGTATGTTTGAGGACGCTGCAATGGACCCAGCGTGTGAAGGGTGTTCGCAGGGAAGCCATGAGGCCAGGCCTTTCTTGGAGGTTCCAAGTGTGTACATGGATGAAGTCTGAAGATGTCTGAAGAGCCCACAAGTGTCAGCTCAGCAATGTGTCAAAAGTTCCCGGCTTCCTACATACTCGACGCGTTACCTATTCTTTTGAGTTTGACTTGAACTGGCCAACAAGCAGGCTCGCAGAAGGTTTTGATCCCCAAAACGCCGCGACTCCACGGAAATGAGTGCAAATTCAGCTATCCATGGAGGGGGAGGGAGTTCAACATGGGAGAAGTGTCCAAGAGGTTGCCTAAGTTTTGTGTTTGCTTTGACAAAAAAGGACTCGCGAAGTCTCGGCGTCTGTCGACGGACAGTAGGAAAGAGGGCGGAAGGATCCGAACCTTTGGGTCGATCTCGGGGTGTAGGCAGGGGCCATGGACGAAGTGCAAACAGCTGGGAGCTGAAGGAGTCGCAGAATTGAAGGGATGCCGACCCAACAGTTCTAGTAAAGGACTTTTTCTGAAGCCGATATCCCGGGATTCTGAGATCTTTCATATCCGCCATTTTAAAAGGGTTCATCTTAGATCCGGAAGGTGCGGTGTGTGTTCTTTAGGGGACACCCCAAAATGGCCTTCCCTTCAAACCCACCCAAAGAACTGGGTATCAACCAAATGAAAAAAAGAGGCAAACATGATGGCTTTCCATTTTGGCGTCCCTTTAAAACCACCCAACACCCACGGGACGAGCCACAACTTCCATTTGCTTAAGAATATTTGTTATATCCCCCTGTTCGTTTTAACAGGATTTTCTCACTACTGGACATATTTCTCATTTTTGTCCAGGGGTCTTAAAGAAATGGAAGACAAAACGAGCCCAACTCGCCGTCCTTTTCGGGCGCCGACCTCTCGCTTCGCTCGCCTCGATCGCCTCGCTGATCGGCTCCAGCGCCTTTGCGCCCGCCTGGACGCGGTGGACTTCAAACTCACCGCGGCGCTGGCGGCGGGGACGCCCTGGGCCTCCCTGGAGGCCGAGATCCGCGGCCGAGATCCGCGATCAATCCGCGACGGGAGCGAGGTGGTTTGTTTAATCTGTGTGTTTATTTTGTTTTGATTATTTATATGTTATGTAGTTATGTGCTTACATACATTATTATTTATTGTTATATGTAATATTTACATACATCTATCTGTGAGAGATAGAGAGAGAGAGAGAGAAACAAGGGAGATACCTTTTGCATACTAAAGGTTCACCGCGACACAATTCGATCCCTTCTTGCTTTGTATGAGCGCAGGCGGTAGTCCTCGGGGTTGTATAGCGGGATCTGGATGCATGAATCCTCCCAAAAAGGCCATTTTAGTAGGTCCTCCTACCTGAGCAAATGGTGGTTATATTAAGGCGTATATAAACCTTTATATTCATCTTGGTTGAGCTAAACGATGCGTGTTGGGCACGGCTCTTTTTTTGTTCGGACAAGCAGGGCTTCAAGACTTGGAGGAACATACACATGAATATGTTAGTTCAAAGTCCAAGCTCGGATTTGCTGCTCTCATGTCTCCTATACCACGTTCCTTGGCGTAACTGGGAAACATGTTTCATGTGTGTTATGTGTTGCAACACCGAATTTGCAAACCCGCGGGCTGGCACGCGTAAACGAGAAAGGTGCACATTCGGCTTGTTGGACGGCCCGACATAGCGCATGTTGGGGGAACGGGGTATAGTGATCCGGATCTCTGCGGCTAAGCAGCTGGACAACCCTGACGTGGGTTCGCTCTAGTCAGCCTTGCTGGTTCCCAAGGTGGCAACAGCCACCTTGCATCTGGTGCTCTGGGCCAGGTTCTGCGAGCTCACCGGGTGAAGTTGGAGAATCTCGGTCGGGCGCGGCCAGCTTGGATTGCCCGAGATTTTGGGTGACCCTTCATGGTTCCGGGATGCCACATGCATGGTGGTCGTCTAGTGCAAGCTGGAACCCTTTCTGGGTTTCATGCGAAGCCGTTTGGGGTCCCCTGAATATGTACGGAAATTATCAGAAGCAAGCTGAACCATGAGGAATGTTCCTGACTAGGTGTCTTCCTTGTTGCGCGTTGCAAAAAATCGGGAGATTTGCGGCGTCCATTCTCAGGCCAGTTTGCTTGAAAATAGATGGAATGATCCCGCTGGTTCAGTTTGGGGAGAACAAGTTATCTATCCAAGTGCCCGTCTGCAGCCTGAGCTTTCTGAGGGAGGGGTTCCCTTTGACAAATCAGGAGACCCTTTTTGTCCCCGTCGAGAGGCTCGCTATTCTACGTGTTCCATATATGTCCACTGGGGCCCATGGTAAGGACTGATGTTGAAAGGAGACAGATAAGGAGACGTGTTCTACAATCATAGAGCGTGCCTTATTGGTTGGCTGTGCGAGGGCTGAAGTTGAAACACCAGCATCCAGCCAGATGACCTATGCAGTGCAGTCGATGACCTCTACGTTTCAGTCTCTCTTCTATGAAGAGAAAGAAGTTCGGCCCTCAGGGGAGCATGGAGAGCTCTGCAGCACTTGAGGGTTGACAATAATTACAGAACTTCTTTGTGTTGAGGTCGGTGGATGCAAGTCAAAGTTCATGTTGTGTTTGTTGTGTGAGTTGTTTTGTGTTTGAACACCTTGTTTGATTCTTTGCGTGTTTTGTCCTCCCTTTTTTTCCGGGTGCTTGGCATATAAGTTTCACCCCTTGTGCTACTCTAGGACCTTGTTTGACTTCGACTCTGGTTCAGGAATTGTGTCCGCAGAAGTCTGGCAGAAGGTTTGCGCAAAAGCTGGGCCTCCTCCTTCCCTCCCTCCCTTCCCCATGCCTCCGCTTCGGGTGCGGATTTTTCCCGAGTCAAGAGCCGCATCGAAAATCGCTGAGGACAAGAGCCAGCTGAAACAAGAGTGGAAGGAGCATCACTTCGCCTTGCACGTGTACAGGAAGACGGGCACTCAGAGCTCGAGTGATGACCACCTGCCGATGCTGAGATCGATCCTTCTAAGCTAAGGCTTGCGCCCTATGCCGCTGCTGAGAATGAAAGGGACTCATCTGGGGACTTGGGATAGGTATGCCTTACCATTGTAGATGATTCACTTTCTTTGGGGATGTGCTTGGACCAGCCAACTCTTAAGGCAGAAGCGCCGTGGCTGAGCCAAAAGCAAGCCCAGCTTTCGGGGGCTCCGAGACGTGGCCTGAGGCACATCATCGAGTCCGCGCTGAGCTCTAAGGAGGCGAGCTCTCGAGGGGCTGCGGAGACGGCGCTGCAGGAGCAGCAGGACGGGTCAGTCCGAAGTGGCTGTGGTGGGGCACAGTGGCTGTGAGTCAAAACCAAAGGAACACCCATGTACCACCTACTTTGATGTTCACCAGGGGTGCACAGCCAAATGTCTTTTTTAGCGGGGTATGTGAATTCACCACCCAGTTTAGGACCTATTTTAGTGGTTGGATTGGGATGTTCACTGGCGGGATAACCGGGATTTTGACCCATGTCCAAGTCCAAAGAAGTTCCTTGTTCCACATGGCTGCGGCTGAAGAGCCGGTACCCAAAGTGGCATATGGTATGTGGTCCTTTGCTGGCTTGAAGCTTGTTTCTGGCACAAAGAGTTAGGTTTCCCTCTCAATCGGTCAGTCTTTTTTTTGCTGGCTTCAAACTTCTTTTGGGCATATTGAAGGTGACACGAGTGAGAAGCTTGGCACAAAAGAGGGTTCCAAACCAAGATAGCACATTTATGGCTTCACACATCTTTCTGGCACCTGACTGTGGCTCAAAAACTGGTACCCAAAATGGCACATGGTATATGGAAACAAAGACTAACACCTGTCTTTTTGTTGGGTACCCTCAAAAATGGCATCCTTTTAGTTTCTCTCTAAAACCATCCACCAGAGGGTCCCCACTAAAATGAGAATTGAAGGTGAGATGTTCCGAACATTGAAGCTGAGTTGCCTTGGTAGGAGTCATGCCACATCATCATTTGCCAAAGTGGAGTTTCCCGAGGGAAGCGTGGGGAACCGACTAGATGGCGCAAATCCAACCCATTTCGGTGAAGGCAACTTGTGACATGGCTGTGGTTCAAAACCAATGAGATCCCATTTTGGGATAGGCCCATTACTGAGAACCGCGGGAAGCCATTGGTCGTTGGTATTTGCAGGGGGAAACAAATCATTCCATGGTTTCTTAGGTACCGAAAGAGTACCGAAAAAGGGGGCTACCCAGGGGAGAGTCCTTCCCGCCGCGCGCGAGGAGAGCTCCAAATGGAGCGACGATGAGGGCGACCCCAACGTCTTCGAGTCGAAGACGGTCTGCCCATTGATCTCGTTTCGAGGGCGGGATCGGGGATCCGTTGTTTTTTTTCCCCAAGGTATAGCCCTAAACCCGGGCTCAAGTCTATCTTGAATCCAAGGTTGGAACCCTAGGGTTTGTGATCAGGCCTTTGGGAAGCACCGAACCATCCATTGGCTCTTTGCGGGGCAAGGGCCAATTTTGGGAGTTCCACCTGAATTTGCAGGGCAGATGAGTCAGACAATGACAAGACTATTCGGGGAGCAATGACTCGTTTGCCATTCTTGACATGCTTATAACTGTGGCTTAGGGTTGATTGGTTGCTATTTTAGACCTCAGTGGACATGTACGGCCCTCTCAAAATCGGCAGTGGCTTTCTCTCGGAAGTTTGCCAAACTAGTCCTGAAGATGGAAAAAGGCTAAAGCCATCGAGGAACTTTGGTGTCACCAAACATGTCTAATAGTCAAAGAGGTGTCCCACCTCCAAAGGAGAATGGGATTTTACACTTTCTCAACTCCCGCTTCTTTTCCTTGGGGAGTGCAGAAAAAAGCCGGGGGTTAAGGTGGGCATGGCCCTGATGCGCAGGAATACGACGTCCCGGAGATCATCTGCGACATCGCAGAGGACGCCACCTTGTCCGGCCGCCGCCTTGTCTGGGTCCGGCCGGGGGCCGAAACGGATCAATATTCCGCTTAGGGCCCCCAGCTTTGACCATGGGCAACTTTTCCCATTTAGTGGGGAATATCATCAGTTTAGCGGTTTTCAATCATGTAAAGGACCTTTTGATCGACTCCCATTTGACAAATTGCCCTTTATCGAGTCAGTTTCAAGCAGTGGGAATCAACCACTAAACTGCACTGTTCCCACATGTCCACGTCCTTGGGATGTTCGTGATTAAAACTAGGCTTCAAGCCAACTGTTTTAAGGACGTAATGAATGCGCTTCCTTCGCTTCCATGCGGGTTTGGCAGACACCATGCGCAAAATCAACATGCCAGCGTATTAAAGACACCAAAGGTGTCCTTTCAACCTGAGGCAAACAAGGAGGATCTGATCTTATCCTAGGGGTTGATTCCTCATTCTTTTCAACCATCCTTCTCTTGAAAAACCGGCTGTTTCCCCTGGGTTTTTGATGGTTTCCTGAAAAGAAGGATCCCTGGAAAGAAGGGGGAAGGTACCCCTAGACTTATCCTAGTTTCACCTTATATTGAAGCGGCACCGTGCATGATATGGACCATATGGGCCACCCGCGCGCCTTTGTTGTGGCAATGGGTTGGTGACTGTACAGGGACTTCGTCATTGCCATTCCCTGCAGAGCATGGACGCCCCACCGCCTTGGTTGCACTTCCTTCGGGCGAGACCCTGGTTTTTGGTGCCCACGTCAATCTGCGTATCACAGTTGCCTTCCATTTGCTTAATGTTTTCTATTTTCCCCTGTTTTTTTTTTAATGTTTTCTATGTCCCCCTGTCTGTTTTAAAGGGAATCTATGACTACTGGACAGAGTTTTCTTTTTTCCAGGCGCACACGCCAGAAGTCGCCCTTCCCAGCCCCCTGCGCTGGGAGAGCTGAGGTCTGGCGGGCTTCGTCCAATACTGCGACCCTGTGCAGACGCCTCCTGCGGCGGCCTGA